ATAAAACAACCCACGTATAAGATAAGATAAGACAAAAGTGAAAGAAATTAGACAAAAGTTGGTTTCATTCAATAAAACACCCTTTAAAAATGGTGTTTCAATATGTTATCAGTGTAAATCAACAGTTTTTCAGTCTCCCCCCCGGCACTGCAGGGGTTAAAATGGCTTTGGCGAGGCGATTCGTTATAAGATTTATTCTGTCTCCCTGGTGCAATGTTTTTCCCATTTCCCTGCGGTGCGATGCGCACAGCTGCAGCCCGGCGTGGCCAGTGTGTGATTGTGTTTGTGTGATAGCTTTGTGCCAAGGGCAGGGGAGGGCGGCGGGGCCCAGACTGAGCGGCGCCTCGGCACACCTGGGGAAGTTCAGGTTAAATAGCTCCACATTCCTCAACACACAGCTGATTGAAACATTAACAAACAGTAATCCGCGGGCCAGGCCGCAGATGGGCCGGGAACCACGCCAACACTCAGAGAGAAAGAGAGAGAGCTGCTCTTTGGTAGAGATTCCCACAGTACAGTCGTATGTTTTAAAGTTGTATTAATGGCTGTATACACTTTTTTTCTTTTTTGAAAACACATACACTACTTGAGCTGTCCATAAAAAGTTAAATATAATTTTTAACAAACAATTATTTATTTGTTCTTTTATTCTGAAAAAATAAGAATTATTTTTTCCAACTTCTTTTTTTAATCACATATTCAATAGCACTCTTCCTTAATGTGGTGGAGTTAATTGAATTACAACCAGGCTTGTGGTGGTCTGTACTCAGGATGTTGTTACCATTAAAATCCAATTAGGGTCGACTATTGTTTGGATTTTAAATGTGCTAATTTCTTAATTATTATTAAACCCATGAATCTATAAAGAAAAATCATACCCCTTTCTTCAACGCTCTTGTAGGTAGCGCCCTCTTGCGAGCATGGAATGAACTGCAGGATTCAAAAAGGTCCTCAGCAGGCAACAGCGCCATCTTCCGGTCACAGGGTTTGCCTGCTGATAATAAGTAATTGTAGATAATTTACAATTTAAATAAAATGTGCTACTCCAGTATAATGTATGTCTTGATTCCTATCAAGCACTATATATAATACACATATAATTTACTGCAACTTAAATTAATATAAATGCTATATCAATGATTAATAATTCTGTATTTGAATATTATAATATATTCAAAAAATGGTTCTTTATAAAGCATTGTTGAGTATGTTTTGATGCGTTTTTTTTTACTAAATGTAGTTATTGTAACAGAGAACTTCTATATGGTAGCTATCATTACATTTCCTTAATGATATATTACGTAACCTTTTTGTATTAATATGTCTACGTAAAAGACTAGACCTGTGCTATTTATTATTAGTTCACATTTTATTATTTGCGGAGTTATGCACTCACATTATCCCAGATATGTTGAACAATTTAGAAACCTAGGAAAACATGTTTTTCAATTGTAACGGTGTGTTTTGTTGGGTTGCCTTTTGTCTATCTACGCCGGGATCCTGAGTCGTGGCTGATCCTGAGTCCTGTGTCCTGGATCCTCTATCCTGAGTCCTGATCTGAGTCCTGGACTTCGAGTCGTGGCTGAACCTGTCACTGTGGTCCTGCCTGACTCTCATCATACTACTTCCCTGATGGCTCCCACAGGATTGTTGACATCCTCGTGGATTCATCTTCTTATTATAGACACATGCATTTCCAAACATTTGGTCTACCTATGCTGTAAAATGTATTATCTCTTCGATTTACACACGGCATCTATTGCACGTCTGTCCGTCCTGGGAGAGGGATCCCTCCTCTGTTGCTCTCCCTGAGGTTTCTCCCATTCCCCCCTTTAAACTGTGGGGTTTATCTGGAAGTTTTTCCTTGTACGATGTGAGGGTCTAAGGACAGAGCGTGTCGTATTGTCATACTGATATTCTGTACAAACTGTGAAGTCCACTAAGACAAATGTAACATTTGTGATATTGGGCTATATAAATAAACATTGATTGATTGATTGATTGATTGAATATCCTGAACTATGGAATGAAACTAATCCTAATCGGGAAAAACTGACTGCAAGGACAAATTCCAATGTGCAGTTTCTCCATATTGATTTGATTACTTAAGCAGAGGTGGGAGAAGTACTCAGATCTTGTATTTGAGTAAAAGTAGGTACCAGAGTGTAGTACTCTGTTACAAGTAAAAGTCCTGCTTTCAAAATGTTACTCAAGAATAAGTACATAAGTATTAGGATCAAAATATACTTAAAGTACCAAAAGTACTCATTATGCAGATTGGCCCTTTTCAGAATAATAATGTGATTTGATTATATTTATTGATCATTAAAGTGTTATCAAAGCTAGTAAAGGTGCAGCTAGTTTGAATGACTGTATTCTGCAGGGTAGCTTGTGAATTTAGCTACAGGTGCATTAACTAAAGTCTGATTTAAGTGTTGATTATATTTCACATTTTCAAACAATACCTGGAAAGTATCTAAAGGTATTAAATACATTTAGTGGAACAAAAGTACATTATTCACCTCTGAATTTGAGTTGGGTATAAATTACAAAGTAGCAAACAATTGAAATACTCAAGTAATCTTGAACTTCTACTTAAGTACAGTGCATGAGTAAATCTACTTAGTTACTACATATCTCTGAACTTAAGTAATATAAGTATATTTAAGACAAGTGATACACATCACCACAACAAGTACCGATATAACGTCACATGTAAAAAGTAAAACACTCACCTGTCTCCTGCATGGATGTATAATAAGAACTGGATACAGCGTGGGAGGCGGGGCCTCATTCATTCCTATGAGAGTTGCTCATTCGCGCATGATGATAAAATGGCCCAACTTTTGAGAGAGCGAAACGTCACAGATTACCCGGCATGCCTGAGAAGTACCCGTATGTGCGCTCATAGCGCATGCGCAACTTTAACCATGCCCCCCAAAATGCTCGTTCACATCAAGCACGTCAATTTGCGTACACGTAACAGCACCGCACGTTCATGACAGCATGGTAATGTTTGTTATGATAGATTTGATATTAACGAGGCGGCAGTTAGCAGCTAGCGGTTAGCTAGTAATTATGCTAATTTACACATCAATCGTTATGTACTTTTATATTACGCTGTAACAGGATCTAGTGATATCCAAGCAACAGAGCTTCATTTAGCATGAAAGAATTATTGCACTGTATATATATATATATATACACACAGTGCAATAAGCTTCTTAGTGCAATAAGAAGCTACAGGGACGTTAATCTACGTCGGTAATATTAACTTTATTTAATACAACATTTACGGTACAAGATTTAATCATACAGCCCATGTAGTATAATATTTTATAAATGATGAATTACAGCAAACATGTGCAATATATCCATTATTACAGCTCCGTGGGCTGGCAGTAAGGCGATATGGGTCCGTTCTTATTGTGCATCCATGGGTAAAGATAAACGCATGTAGTGCTGAACACGTAACATGAACGTGCCGGGCGGCGCGGTCCCGTGGGTTCGATGCGCGTTCATAATGCAGAGGGAAATAACTCTCAGAATAACGTTATTAGCACATTTTACAACTTGAGGAACGAATGTTTTTAATAAGGGCTATACAAGTGTTCATACTGGGTAGTTTATTTAGTTTAAAAAAAATTATCCAACGATTTACAGACCACTCTTTCCCCATGTAAGTCAATGGGAAAAAGTGTTTCCGGGCCTGGCAACCAAAAGGAAGTGTAGTACCGCCGTTTGGCCAGCACGAATATTTTCATCAGAGTCCGGCGCACTTCCTGGGGGCTTGGTCTCCTGTCCCCAGGTCCGTCGCTAAAAAGCGTCCCCAGGGAAACAGCATCCACATTTATTTTTCCGGGTTGGGATAAAAGAGAAGGAGGAAAGTGGTGTATCTCCCTGACATGTATGTTTGTTAGTATATTATAGTTTTTCGTACATGAATTATGTATAGCTTAATTCATGTATGTTTGTTATTTTGCAGTGATGTTTGTGTTGTCTTTCTATCACTGTCATAAAAAACAGATTTGTACATAACACCCCTTTTTATAGTACAGCCTAAATGTTGGGGCTATATAAAGCAGCTCTTTTTACCATTAGGTTGGGAAGTGTGGTTGTAGGTTGTATTGAATTGTTCCTGGATTTAAGTGTTGCCATGTCTGTGGCCTGGCTATTTGCCATCCCTTGTAAATAAATTCCCACACCGTGTGATTTGCTGGACGTTCTGCGTCTGCATCCTTAGGTCAGCCTAAAATTCATAATAATACATTTGATTTATCAAGCGATTTATCAGGTGCTCAAAGACGCTTTATAGAGGTAAACAAAAGGGTAACAAGTCAATCATCTTGCAATTAAAAGACTAGCCTACATCTGCTTTGTTTGATCAAAGTGATTTATTTCAAGATCATCATGACCCGCCCCAGATGTGTCCTGTGAGCCTTCGGAGGGGCCGACCTTTAATAATCGTCACATTAAACTTTAATTATGTATACAAAGCAGTTAATACTAGCTCTGTTAAAGAGTAAACATGCTACTGATGATGTATACATTAACATCTAATGTCTTTCTTTACACATCCATCACTAGCTCTATTTTTAGTAAATGTTCTGAAAATATGTCTCTTCTTTAAACAAAAATTGTTTTGTGGAAACATCTAGGAGGCGTGTGGTGCAGTGGACTAGTGCGTTGGTGTTCGGATCAGGGGGTCACAGATTCAAACCCCACTGCAGTCAGCATGTCGTTGTGTCCCTCGGCAAGACACTTCACCCCAAATTGCTCCTGTGGGGATTGTCCACAGTATTGAGTATGTAAGTCGCTTTGGATAAAAGCGTCTAACATGTAATGTAATGTAATCTATATTACGATACTGACAGAGTTAGCTTTGATTCACTTTCTTTGATCAACTTTTTGTCAGTGCAATAGTGGCTGATATTTACTGTTAATATAGTCAGGGAGTGAACTGCAGTCAGAGGGTAATAATTAGACAACCAGAGTCAAAAGTGTTTAAATAGAAATTTGTATTTACATCAATATCAACAACAGAACAAATCTGTAATATACATCCTGTAAAATGACAGCTTATCTTACCTTGAAATAAAGAAAAAAACAAACCAAATGATCTCTTGCCTCGTTTTTGCACTTCATTTTAACTCTACAAAGTTTCCTGAAGTAAAAAAAACAACATCTTGACATAAAATGAAGTTATTTCCTGAAAGATAGAAGAGATACGGATATGTCTTGGAGTGGATTGCATTCCATTGGTATTTCTCTTTCACAGCAAAACATGCTTTGTTTGTTTTTCCTGGATGTAAAAACGTTCTGTTGAGTTTCCAGTCCTCTTCGCTCTGCACTGAACGCCTCTCACTGTGGAGGAACTTCTTCTCATGCTTACAGTACAAAAACCAGATCCATGATATGTACCCCAGTCACCTTCAGACGAATATAATCATTAAAAATGTACACCAGAAACCTTGGAGACTATACAGAGATGTGGAAAAATATCTTTGGATTGCGCATGTTGAAAAGGTAGATTCGGCAAGATGAGACTAACAGTCAACATAAGATGGGGGTGAATAAAATACCCTCGACAGGGTTAAGGGAGGGGGAAGCATTGCAAGGTTACATTGAGGAGCACATTCCTCTTTACTGTACTGCAGACAAAACCCATACGCCTCCCAAGCCCCCAAAAATAATTTCATTTTTCTAACGTAATCAACCACCTCCGCCATCTGCCAATAAAACCTCCGACAAGCTCAAACCTTCAACTCGTCAGATCCTCGTCACAAGTAAAAGTGCCTCGCTAAAACATGGAATACATGACTTTTTGGAAAATTAAAAAATACAGCATACAGAAAAATGACAAACAAGGGAAGGAAACCCCCGAACACACCTGCAATATTTGCAACGGCATTAAAAAAATAATAAGAATCAACCAAATAGGCATTGACCTATGGGACACAAAAATACAACCAGGTCTCATACTTTGTGCAATAATGGGCCTTTAAAAAGCATGTTTGATATATTTTGTAGAATATTTACAATTCATATTCACAGAGACATCTAATACTGCAGTACCATTTGTTTGCTTATAACAGGTGTTAGGATGCTCAGTTACAGTCTAAAGCATAGAGGCGTAGAGTTATTGCTCCGATCTGCATAACGTAGATAACTGTGCTTTATAGCTTCCGATGACTTCAAGAATGAGGCGCATCCAAAGTAGAAATAAAAGAAACCCATTGTTGTGAAGGCATTGAATCTCTAGTAAGGCTGTAATGATGAAGACATATTGCATCGATCTTTGTTCCACACAGAAGCTTCCTGGTAAAGTGCAGCCACAGCTCGTTGTACCATAGTTCTGCAGCCTGGCCGTGACGCTGAATACTGCCGACAGCAGCGCTCACACACACACACACGCACACACACACACACGCACACACACACACAGGTACTTTGTGTTTGTGCATCACCTTCACAGGGCAACAGATTTTGAGGCTTCAATCGGGGATGAAGCCCAACGTTAGTCCGTCTAGCCCCACGTCCTCCAGGATGAGTGGTCTGCTGTGCCTGTGTCACAGATAATGCCGGAGAACTCTTACTGCGTGTGTTTTTGAATGTGTGTGTGTGTGTGTGTGTGTGTGTGTGTGTGTGTTTAGGTCCAGCTATTCTCGGGCTCAGACCGCTCTGCTGCAGCTGAAAGGATCCAGATTCTGCCACCGGTCCTCAGCAATACTTCTGCAGAGACAAAAACAATCGAGGGTTGAAAAAGATGGATGCTTCCTCAAAGGGGATTCATTGTCATTTCAGGCAACAACCTCAATTCAATGAATACATTTCATTAAATGGATAGAGTACATTCTAAATTCTAGGTATGAAAACTGTTGTGAACATATAGGATATTGTGAGAACACAACTCAACAAAATATATAATATACGTTTACCTATATTCAAGCATTAGGAAATGTTACATATTATAATTTAAAACTCCTATGTTGCAATGTTTTACAAACCTGATCAGGTCCCATTTGCATTCTGCCCATTGCCATGGGGTTCATGCCCATCTGGCCCTGCATCTGGCCCTGCATCTGGCCCTGCATCTGGCCCTGCATCGGGCCCTGCATCTGGCTCTGCATCTGGCTCTGCCGCTGTACTGGCATCTGGCCCATCTGGCCCGCACCGGCCCCGCTGACCGGCCCTGCTCCACCCATGGAGGAGTTGTTCATCATCATGGGTCCAAACTGGCCCTGGCTGCCCTGCTGGGGAAACTGCTGCTGGGGGTAGGAGCTAAAAAAAATAAAAACAAAACAAGGTTAAACACAGGCCATTTATCTCAGACAGAAATAAACACAAGGGAAAACCTTATATGATGCTAAAAAGGTTACCATCAGCTACACTTGAATAATGGATACATTATTTTGCTGAACGAGGCCTGGCGGTACATACTTGCTGCGGGGAATGCCGCCTTGTGTCCAGCCTTTCATTTCTCCAGAGGGGTACATGGCCCCTCCCTGGGGATTCCCCTGCATCATGTTGGTCTGAGGAGGGCCTGCCATTCTTCCTTGCATCATGTTTGCTGGTGGGCTGCTAACAGGAGCCATGAACGATGGGTCCCCCTGCTGGTTCATCCCTGCAACTACAACAACAAGAACAAAGTTAAAGTGGAACATCCAAGAGAAAATGACACACAGCCGCATCTCAGTTAACTCACCGTAGTTACCTCCGTAGTTGAAGCCCTGCTGTCCAGGCTGGTTCATGGCGGGGCCTCCGATGGGGCTCTCCATGCCTCCTGGTGCGGTGACATTTGGAGGAGGGCTGAAGCCCCTTGCTGCTGCTGCCGCCTGGCCCTGCCCCTGCTGCTGCTGCATCAACATCATCATCCGCTGCCTCCTGATCTGCATGGTCATCATCTCCCTTTGGCGCTGAGCCATCATCTGCGCGTTCAGGAAACCAGGCTGCAGATAAATATCACACTTTGACATTAACACTTCAAAATGTGCCATAGGAGATGACATTTAAAAAGTGGCAAGTGAAGGCACACTATATTAGTGAGAGTAAGTGCAGATTACATACCTGGCCAGGCATGTTTCCAGGCTGCATGTTGGGCTGCATGCCAGGTTGCATTCCTTGTTGCATCCCAGGTTGCATTGCAGATTGCATCCCAGGTTGCATTGCGGGTTGCATCCCAGGTTGCATTCCTTGTTGCATCCCAGGTTGCATTGCGGGTTGCATCCCAGGTTGCATTGCGGGTTGCATCCCAGGTTGCATTGCGGGTTGCATCCCAGGTTGCATGCCGGGTTGCATTGTGGGTTGCATGCCGGGTTGCATTGTGGGTTGCATGCCGGGTTGCATGCCTGAATGCATGGCAGGGTTTCCTCCGGAGGCGTGTTCCATCTTTATGCCTTGTCGGGTCTGGTTCATGAACTGCAAAATATGACAAGATGAAGAGTTAAATATTGAAGTTTTTGTTTTTGTTATGTTAACTGCTGGGTGTCACATTTGGATTATATCACGGAAATTGATCGTAATGAACTATCAATCCTTTAAATCAACATTTTTGAAAGTGTAAATGACAGCTATCAGAGCATAAAACCTATGGCATGTTAATTAACGTGTATATCTGTCTGTCTGTGTCTCTGTGCGTGTGTGTGTGTGTGTGTGTGTGTGTGTGTGTGTGTGTGTGTGTGTGTGTGTGTGTGTGTGTGAGATCACCTGCTGTCCCTGCAGTCTCTGCTGCAGCTGCAGTCTCAGAGGCTTGGTGGCGGTCATCATGCGAGGCCTCATCATGTTTGAACGCGGGTTGCCCATACCCCCCATGCCACCAGCCATATTAGGGAAGCCCCCAGTCTGGCCCACTTGATTCATCATGGGGTTGAAGTTTCCTGGAGACTGGCCCTGCATCGTGGAGCCACCATAACCGGGCTGCATGCCCATAGCGGAGGGCCCCGGGGGTCCAGGGTAGCCCTGGCTGTACATGGGTTTTTGGTCCATGCCTAAAGAGGACTCGGGCCCGGGGAAAGGCTCCGACTGCGGGCGCCGAACCGGCCCTCGCTCCTGGCCTTCAGGTCTGTGGTTCTGGGGAACAGACAAGATGCATTTCATTCAGACTGGACAATTAAACTTTAATATCAACAAAAAGCAGATAAGGGAATTCATTTTGTCTAACTAGTGATAGATCATTTATTTATGAACTCTGCACAAAGACCATTAAAAAAAACATGTTATATTTTCAAATGATATTCTCTTTAATGTTGGAGATGAACTTATTTTTTACTGATAAATGATCAATTATTTGTGGATTTTATTTGGTATTATAAATCTGAAATCAAGCTTTCAACTAAATACCTTAACATTTTATGCATATAAAATGTGCATTGCACCCATTAAGTCATATTTTATACTTCATGAAGCACACGCTTTCTGCATAAAGAATAACAAATGTATATATTCCCAATTGTCAACCAAGTAAGGCGTTTTCATTTATTGTATATGCTAAATCTAATACTTTTACTCTAGTAAGTGAAGTACCTGGCCTACTATTTCAGGGATGCCTAGGGCTCGGTCAATCTCCTGCAGAGCGATAACATCAGTGGTGTTGAGCAGAGAATCCAGCTGGTCCAGAAGTGCCCGTTCATCACTCGGACCCTCGCTGTTGACCCGAGGCCCTAGCAGCTCCTCCAGGGGGTGCCCAAACTGGTCCCTGACACAGGAAACCACACAGGAAAGGTTACACCACTGACTGGGATCACAGAAGCTATCAACACCATCTTTAGTTCAAAGTTGGAAAACATCTGGAAGCATAGGGTGAGGTGCAAAAAAGGTGTACCTGGTTGTGTTAGTCTTTGGTCTGTCCATTCCCATAGCAGAGTCCGGCCAGGACGGGGACCGAGGTGTGGGGCCGTGTGCACCAAACGGGCTCATACCCATATTGGCTTCATTGGTACCTGCAGAGAGGAAAATGGGAAGGTAATGATCAATAAGAGGTCACCTTAAATCAAATTACACAAGTCCAGAAAATGATTCTGATACCGATATTATCTTTATTCATATCATGTCTCTCTCATTACAGTTCAATGCAAAACATACCCATATCCATGAGTTGCTGCTGCAGCATAGAGCGGGTTTTTCCGGGAACACTGTTGGACCGGTTGATCATGGGTCCTCCCATTGGACCGGAGCGTCCCATGCCAGGGTGTCCTGGTCCGGCCACAGGGCTGCCGCTGGACCTCTGCATGCCCCAGTCGCCTGGTGCCGACATGGGAGGCCTCTGAGGCATTCCCATTCCTCTGCCCATCCCTCCTGAAAGACCAGAAACAATGTTTTATCAGTATGTTTCTCAAGTAATTATTTTTTTTTTTTAATTGGTTTAGTTAGAAAAAAATATAAAAATAATAGTATTATCCCCATGCTTTCTACTCTGTTGATCCCAGGACTCTTGGGCATGCTAAGTTAAAGTCTTTAATTTACTTGTTGGATTGCCTCGTGGCGGACACACACCCATGCCCCCTGGAAAGCCGTTGGGAATGGGCCCGGGTCGGATCGGCGTATCCATCTTCTCCTGCTTGATCAGTGTGGGACAGGGGAGGTTTCGTCTGCCGGCCAGCCCCCCTCCTACCGCTCCTTCTCCTCCCATGGGCTTGGCATCCATGGACAAGGCTCTCTGATAGGCACTACGCTGAGCTGGAGGCATGGGGCCTCTTACCCCTTCTGGAGCACACACAATACCACATTTAAGTTCACATACCAACACATATAGGTTGTGTGATTAACACTGCCCTGACAAGGAAGCATCTACAGTGTGATATTTCATGCAATACTTATATATAAGACTATGGCTGTAGTGTCTCGGACGTGCATTATGTTCTGTGTTTTTCCACATTAACCAGTGTTACATTTGATTACGATACTAAAATAGATTGATGGACTCACCATGTAAACTGTCCGGCATATTTCCTGGTTTGTTTCCTGCCTCTTTCACTGCTCTGGAGTCCGGTTCAGAGAAGAAGCTAGAAGTGTTCCTTGGGACCCCCAGAATGGTCTCCAGTGTCTCCGCCTGAACCATCGAGACACACCAAAGATTAGAAAAACATTCTTTACTGAATATCTTAAACTCAATTTCACAAATTAGTATTATGGGGCATAAGACTCACCACCTCAGCCGGCTCCAATTTGACCTTCCCATCCATGCAGTGGGGGTCCGAGCTGGTGACCCCTGGCCCCTGAGCTACTCTCCCCTCCAGCTCCTCCAGCTTTGGCTTGACATCCCCACCTTCTTTAGAGTCATCCTTGTTGAGGAGGTAGTGAAGGAGGGCGTGGGGCTTCTCCTTCTTCGGGCTGTGTTGCTCCTGCTTTGACTCTGGTCCTCTCGCCCCCCCTGCAGCGACGGGCCCCGGCTCAGCTGCCCCGCCCTCCAAACTGCTCTTCCCAGTGGCCTCGGCTGTGATGCGAGCCACCTCGTCAGGAGTGTTCCCGTTCTGCAGGAGCTTGTGGAGGATCTTGTGCTTCTCCTGCAGCGACTGACTGGTAAGATGTGCGCCGGAGGAAGACACGGCGCCATGGTTTCCGCCCGTGGAGGAGGACACTCCCGTGGAGGAAGAGGGGCTCGTGACACCGGCTGTTCCTTCTTTAGCCTCGGGCGTGGAGCAGGGGCCGGAGCTCGGTGTGTGGTTAGGTGGCACCAGCTCATCCGTGGGGGAGGTGAGGAGCTGCAGAAGCTTCTTGTGGCTCTTGGTGTCCGGGACCCGTCGGTTGGAGTCTCCCCCGGGAGGACCCGCCTCTCTACTGGCTTGGCTGTCGGGCTTTTCGGGCAGCCCCTCGCTGGTGGGGGTGTGCGGATGCTGCTGAGACTCTCCTGCAACCCCCAGTGAGCTGCCTGGGCTCTTAGAGTCAGAGTAGGCCGGAAGGCTGGGTTTACACGCCCCTCCAGCTGCCTGATTGGTGGAGTTGATGCTCGGGGAGCTGTCAGGCCTGTGAGGGGGAGGAGAGGTGAGGGGGGAAGGCATCGGGTTGCCCACTCCCTCACTGATGGCTTGGAGGGCGTTCAAGGAGCTGCTGGAGAAGGTGGTGCTTCCTAATCCTCCTCCAGAGTTACCGGGGTGACTGGAGCTCATGGGAGAGTTCATACCTGCAGAGGAACAACCACAGATATATCAACAATCCAGGAAGGTAACAATGTCAAAAAATATAGAAATGTCACAAAATGTGGTTAAAAAGTTGTGATTTTTTTTAATTGAAATAATGCTACCTATCTTTTCTACTCTGGATATGTACTTTTATTTTAATGCAATTCATTTTCATTATACGAGTGTGATTCCTTCTTTTTATGTAAGGCAACTGCACTGTCCCCTTTGCTGAAACAATGTACATTTCACCGCTGTGGGACGAATAAAGGATTTCTGATTTCTGAGGAAGTTAGATTTTTTACATGTAATAGTCTTCAGGAGTTACAAAGTTTTGGTTCATACCTCCAGGAGAGAAGGGGCCTGCACCCATTTTTGGGCTTCCTCTGACTCTGGGTGAACCCATGACGTTGTGTGGGGGGCCATTAATCCCTGGACTGGCAGGGGGGGGACTGGTCATCCCGTACCCTCCACCACCGGGTCCGCCTCCACCTCCTCCATGGAACTGACCCATCTGCTGCTGCTGCTGCTGCTGCTGCTGCTGCTGTTGCTGCTGCTGCTGCTGCTGCTGCTGTTGAAGCATACTGTGGTGGCCCATCTGAGTCATGGGCCCCATTTGGTTCATGGAGTTCATGGGGGAGTTCATTGAATGCATGGAATTCATCTGATTCATTTGACCCATGTTGTTCATCTGATGCATGGGACTCATTTGATTCATCTGGTTCATGGGATTCATGCGGTTGCCCCCGGTGTACGACGGCGCTCCCCTCTGTGGCATGTTGCTCTGCTCCGCAATGCCGTAGCCTCTGTTTATGCCCCCCGCTGGGCTCATGTTCATCTGTTGGTTGGGGTTGTTCACAGGCATGGTTTGAGGCCTTATACCTGCTCCCTGGTTGGCTCGATAACCATTTTGCTCCCTACAATGGAATCCATAAAGTTAATAATAGAATATGAAACTAAGCAAGACAGTTACCAAATCTTGGAGAGCATTTCTTTTTTTTTTACCTTTGTAGCAAATGTGTGGAGAGGTATGAGTGCGGTTCATTGGTGCTGGGATTCCTGCAGAGGTCACTCCTGGTCTGGGCTGTGACTGGGGTGCCGTCAGCGAGTGAGAAGCGGTAGAGAGGGGTCTCCGCATGACCATTATGGAAAGCTAGAGTGGAGAAAAGGAGAATTGAAAACACCAAAAATAGCAAGTCAAAACCATTCAAAAAAGTGCTAAGAATCAGCCGTGCCAGGTTGAAGCAGTAACTTGAATAAATATCCATATATCTGATATATTCTTGCCGTTTGTGAAATAATCAATGCAACACAGATGTGTTTTTCAGAAGACACAAAGGAAGGCACGGTAAAATGTGTTGCTCAACCTTCACTCGCTAATACCAGTCACAATAAATCTTCCATATAGATACTGTGCAACAAAAAGCCCTCCAGTGGTCACCGTCTAAAAGCTCTTAATGTGAAGCTAACCCAATTAATTCTGCAATAACAGCTGCTAAAGTTTGACAAAGACAAATGTAGGCTGCGGTCTGTTAGATAAGTAAAAAAAACAAACATGAAGTCAAGAGTGATACTCATCGTGACGTATGAATGCATCGACGTAACACATGTTCGGGTACTTGAATACTTTTGTTAATGACCAAATCACACCTGACACCTTTAATAATGGCTCAGAGCTCGCCAATGTCTGTTACCATGCTGTCATTCTAATCCATTAATGTTAAAAACAAATGCAAATATAAAGTTGCTATAGCATCTGCTGATGTAGCACCAGATGCATGAATGCTATGCTTTTTGTGTTAGTGACTAGGGAGGGAGGTTCAGATTAAACATACCATCTTGATAGTGCCGTTTGTAGGACCACGGTTGTCCCTCACTTCGGTTGAGGAACATCTGCATGCAGCGCCTCACCAGGTCCTCCCAGCCCGGGCGCATAGTGGTGCTTAGAGAGGCCTGCTGCTCAATCTCAATCAGTTTACCTGCAAGACAAGATAAACCAATGGATAGATGCAGTGAGTATGGTTTTGTGTATTTAAGAATCTCTAAATAACAAGAATGACATGGCTTTAAAGGTCCCATAACCATAACAGTACAAGTTATGAGTATAAGTGGGGACATTCTTTTTTTCTTTTTTTTCTAAGTACACAGCATCATCATATGCTAGCTCACAGTGCCTAAGAACATATTTCCAAAGATCGTGCCACCTGATTAAATGTGAGAAATGACTTTCATCTTATAGAGATAACACAGTAGAAACTTACCAGTGAGTTCATGGCGAGTGCTAAACCTCTCCGTCCTCTCTACATGGATGATGCGTCGTGCCACACAGATCATACATGACTGCAAATCTGAGTAAAGAGACAACACAATGATCAGTTGAGATTCTGGACATTTATCATTTTGTAGGTATGGTATTATTTGTAACATCAAAAATATACCTACAAATACAGTGGAAGGCATGGCAACACACGTAAATGTATTCTACAACGTCGCTGCTAGTTCAATCATATCTTCAGCATTATTCAATGGAATTGAACTGAAATCAGTTGCCACATTTTAACAGTTGTATTTTCACATTATTTTAATCTAAAATAAAATACAAGATAAACCTTAACCTTTATCTCCATAGGGAATTCAGCAACAGCAACAGGGGAATGAAAGAAATACATATTCGAAGCTTTCATCCGTGACATTTACCTTCTCCCTCCTCCATCATAGCTCGGGGCTGAGTGAGGGCGAAGCACTGCATGGTCTCATAGCGCTGGCCACCCGGCCTCTCTTCTGGCATCCCATGACTTTGACCGTGACCAAAGTTGACCAGCATGCGACAGTTGAAGGTGTGGCTCTTCTGCCGGGGTGCCTCTCCGCTCCACGATGCCCCGTTCGGTGCTATGGAGAGAAATTGGCAATGGCTGAGCAGATGAACACGACTTCATACGTGTGTTATCGAGTACTCATGTTCATATATTTATACATCTGTGTGATTGAACCCTTGTCTCACCATTAGACTTGGGCAGATTCTTGTGAAACTCCTCCCTGTCCTCATCGTGGATGATATTATACACGCTGGTGTTGATAAGCTCCTCCTGCTTGTACTGCAGGTACTGCGTCACGTTGTCGGACACAAACACAATGTTGCCCTCTCGGTTGACCACAAACAGAAAACCGTCCAAGGCCTGAAAACATAGGTGCCATAAAAAAAATGAAGAAATGATGATTAACTTTATTTAGTTACAATTGATGCGCCTCTATTAACCAGCTGAGACACTTCTATCAAGTTTAAGTGAGCAATGACAGCAAAGCACTGGCACAGCATATGGACAGGCAGGTCATTATTGTTGCCCCCCCCCCAATGATTGTCCCCGAGCTGACCTGTAGGAGCAGCGGTCCCAGATGGTCCTTGTCAATGACCCCCTGACCAGTGGAGGACACATCCGCCTTCTGGACATCGTCATCACTGCAAGTGCTCTTTCCTGAGGACAGATGAGTAATTTAACAACAGTTAAATATGCCAGTGGATTTGTATTTGTTACTTTATACATTAGAAATCATTTCCATGGTGTGACTGGACTAGAACAGCTGTGGTTCAGAAGGAAAGACTAGAGACCTCGGAGAAATGCACATGACCTGCACGTTTTGTTGAGTGACAGTTTAATACATTTTGTATAATGGTGTTTTGCCTATTGTACAGTTTGCTGTGGGTGCTTTCTTTATGCAAAGATAATTGTCTTTCCAGCCAGCAGGTGGCAGCATGAGTCACGGATGAATAATTAGCATGCCTTTCTATTTTTAAAACCAGCATGTGTCTGAGGCTTTGTTAGATACCACTCTATATAGCAGGGCCATCTGTGGCGCGGACACTGAGCAGGGCGACAAATAATACCACTCTGGATTTAATTCAATTTCCAATTCAAACTAGCTGTTGTATGAGCAAACAGAGAAAGCAAAGGCTAATTTGATGAAGGAGACAATGATCGCAAAGATGTGTAAACAGGGGGAGGGAAAAGGTGAGTTAAATGGACAACAGACAGAAAAGAGAAGAGAAAACAGGCCCTCCATCATAGCCATCCTGTAACTATGGCAACCTGGCTGCATAACACCGGGGCCAGCAGTAGCCAGCTGTGACCCTCGGGGTAGACTCCAATATTATTGCTCTTTCTCTTCCTCACCCACTTAACCTCACAGATATAATCTCAACGAATGTAAAACAGGTGGAAAATATCCTCCTTTGAATATCCAATCTAATGTCAAATCTGCAAAACGATTGGAAGATGGCCCGAAGGCAGCAGCGACTCTCTATAAGGTCTGATTCCTGAGTCACCACTAGTGTCATTCGTCTCGCAGCGAGGAGCACGGTTTGGCACTAACAGATCCACACTGTCACTGACAGCCTTGAGCCACGACCACCAAGGACTGGTCTCAATTACTGGTGTTCGTTTACCCCCAGCGATACAAAACGCCAAACTGGCTGTCAGTCTGAAGCCGCCTGGCCATGAACCAAAACACCACTTCATCACGGCATCATCTGTCCTGCAGGCTAAGAGATCCAGCCCAACTAACGTCCCTGTTTACCCCCCATAGAAAATACCGGAAAAAAATTATATAATAATACAACATATAATTCAATTAATGATAGAAATTCATTTATAACCAACACAATAAATACCTCGACTTGTAAAAAGAAAAAACGAAGAAAGGTTTGGCTTATTTGTAGCGAAATATTCCATTTGAAAGCAAAAATATTTTGTGTAAAACAGCCCCATTCAGCCAACTAAAACAATACAAAAAAAGGTTTAATAAAGAAGGCTTATTATATTAAAAAAAAAATGCGGTAAGAAAAAACGATGTGAAACTGCTCTGCTATTTTGGCTCCAACATGCAGTAGCACTAACATTGGTATGGTTTATTGAAAGCTCATGTACTTGCAAGTTAAAAGCTTCAGCTAAATGTAATGTAACAAATGCAATAAAAGCAATAATAATGATAGTGAGTGTGTGAGTGTGTGAGTGTGTGAGTGTACAGTGTGGGTACCTTGCTCTTTTATTTGTCTGATCTGTCTCACAGTCTCTTTGAGGATGGCACATTTGTCAGGCTTGACGTTGAAGCTGTCAATGTTGGAGAGATTGGCAGAGATGAGCTCCGCGAGCTCCTCGATGTACTTGCTCTCCTGTTCCCTCCGACGCTTGTCACACCTGCCGAGGCGCCAAGGGGATTAGACACGTTACTATGACAACCTCACCTCCCCATGCCCCGTCCGTATGCAGGCCATACGGCCTTGGCTGGGATGCTTCGGATACTTCGATGGCAGCAGAAGACATACGTTTGAACCAGATGAAGGGGGGTAGGGATGTTTACAGGGGGCAGTAGGGAGGAAGCGACCTCGTGCACTTGCTGACATTCATACCGAAAACAGCAGCGGACAATGATTGATTTGCGACTGACAGTCAACAGAAGTTACAGTACTCACCCTAAGCCTGGTGTGTCACAGGTGGAGAGTTTACGTTTGCGGTCGGAGCACAGCGGCTCCAACGAGTTGTCTCCTATGCCACTCATCTTCAGCGCATATCAGCCCCTGAAAGCACAAAACTGCACATCATATATACATGCATACACACATACAGGGAGCGCAACATGATCAGAGGGAATGAACTGGGAGTGTGGTTTTATATGCTTATGTGTGTGGTATAATCAAATCAAAGGATAAGTGTGGATTGGGACATGCCTTCAGCCGTCAATTCTTTGCAAAGTTCACTTTTTATGCCAGGCAAACCTTGAGAGCTCAGTGTCAAGTAATGGGGGAAAGAAATAAAGAAGCTACTGAGGTTATAAATAAAGTGACTTCTGAGGCGAGAGTAGATTGTAGATTCCCACAGATTTATTAGGGTAAACTATCCAGTTAGTAAAGCAGCCTTGGTTCCTGCTTAGTGCCTGATGGGAGTGAAATCTCATCTGTTCCACTGTGAGGAGCGACTGATGATGATGTAGTGATTTGGCGCCTCGGGGGAGATGGGTCATTCTGCGTTCAGCCAGCTTGCCCGCTAGAACGATACCACTCTGCTAGCAGCGGCAACACACAGCGCACACAAACTGTTTCCAGAACAGTTTCATGTCCAGGCATGTCGCAGCACAGTCTGCAAGAGAGTTTTAGCTGCTGTCCCAGCTAGAGACACATTTTCACCAGCCTTCCTCTCTGTCTAACTGCATGGGACGGCACTGGGGGGAAAAAAATACCCACTGCTTATGCACGTGGAACCCAGAAACAATCCAGGCGAGGGACTAGTAAGAATTATCCGCATTCTCCATACTAGGCCACATCCGCTCTTTATTCCAATAGGTTTTAACTGCCGTTTCCTCCCATACCATCCCGAGGCAGTCCCTCCCTTCTCTCCCTCCCTCCCTCCCTCCCTGGGTGTAGCAGTACTGGGCTGTGGACCCTGCCCTTGTTGTCTTGCTCTGCCATTGCCCTGTGTCTGACCCCCTCAAAGTTCACGTTAGAGGAAACCTCTCTAACCAGCCTCTAAGGTCACTGCTGTTTTCCGATTCCCACCCAGAAACACACACACAGAGCTGTAGCATGCTGCTTCACAACCAGATACGACTCTATGCTCGACTCTGCGTCCGCACACACAAACAAACTCTTAAACACAGAGTGAGCTCATTCCAGAGTGGAAAAGTATAGAACGGATGGGAGCCATTATGCAACTCCTGCTCCGCAAACTGCAGGCTAGGACACGCAGCCCATTCACCACTACTACTCCTACAGGAGCACCAAGTCTCAGACAAGCACTCCGCGCCATAAATCTGCAGCGCATGCTTGGTGTCCGTCTACCTTTCACCACCCCTCTCTAAATCTGCCTGTCCTGCTCCGGCTGTGACTCTCAATGCCTTCCCTTCTCTCTTTCTCCCTTCCTTCCTGCTGTCTGTCCTAAGGCTCACCTCTGCAGCAGTGGAGAAAGATGACATCAGCCCTCAGTCAGCCTCAAATCCTGAAAATGGACAAACAAGCCGAGCTGGGGGCCTTTCTGAGAACAGGGAATGTATGGCTGTGTACACAGTTCTGGTCATGGGGAAACAATGTTGAAACCGCTCAGTCTGTTTGTAACTTCACTTAAACAACTATGTTTGCAAGGGATTTAAACTACACGACACAATTTACATTGAAAATAGTATGTGTCATTTGTTAAAGGGCCCATGTCATGCTTTTCCGGTTATTACCCGTCCCCTTGTGTGTTAGGAAGGTTTTTATGCATGTAAACGGTCTGCAGAGTCAAAAACCCTCAAAGTACACCCTGTAGCGAGTAAAACTCTAACACAGAAAAGACCTCCCCAAAACGCCTCGTTGGAGATTTCTCATGTTCTTCCTGGGCATCGTGACGTCTGGATACCCAGTAGCCACGCCCAGAGCTATGACGCACCCTCTGCCAGCCAAGCATATATACTGTTGGAATCTCAGGTTCAGTTCAAAACAGCGCTAACTGGGCTAACGAAGTTGCTAGCGTTTACATACATCAACTACAATGTTAGCAGATGGCCTTACATGTTTCTCATAGCACGAGAATGTCTGCATTCACACACGAAATACTCATAGACAGTATACTCCGGGTGATTTACCCTACGGTCAGTACATTATAGTTGGCGTTCCTAACCGAGCTACCGTTCATAGCGTGTATGCTACCGAGATAAACAACGACGCTACCGAGAGGTAGACATGCTAGACGAAAACATTGTTTTCATGCCAGCTACAATGAATGACCGAACGTAGCAGACTACCCGTATAAGATTGCAATTGTAAACACGTTCTTCCTAGCCTAATATGAACCACTAGCCACTAGCTTTTGTTCACAGTGGTTTTATTACACATAAAACAGCGCTAACTGGGCTAACGAAGTTGCTAGCGTTTACATATATCAACTACAATGTCAGCAGATGGCCTTACATGTTTCTCATAGCACGAGAATGTCTGCATTCACACACGAAATACTCTTATACAGTATACTCCGGGTGATTTACCGTATGGTCAGTCGCGAAACTTAATTACATTATAGTTGGCTTTCCTAGCATGTATGCTACAAAGCTAAACAACAAGGCTACCTATAGCTAGACATGCTAGGAAAAACATTGTTTTTATGCCAGCTACAATGAATGACCGAACGTAGCAGACTACCGTATAAGATTGCAATTGTAAACACGTTATTGCTAGCCTAATATGAACCACTAGCTTTTGTTCATAGTAGGTTGGCATACTACACTGAACAACTAGAAAACGTAGGTTAGCTTATACAAAAACTGATGCTCCGCTCAGAGCCGAAAAAACACTGTGTTAGACATGGGCGGAGCCTCTCTGGTGGTTGACTAATCAGAACAGAGTGGCCGAGCTGACCAATCGGAGCACACTGGGCTCACAGGGAGGGGGGGGGCAGGAGCTCAAACAAGCCGTTTAGGACAGAGAGTGAATACACATACTTTACAGAGATGCTGTATGAGAAACCAATGTGAGTTTGGAACATTGCACAATATAAATCTATTTTAGTAGACCTCAACAATGGAATTATGATCAGTGGAAATGGCCATGACATGGGCCCTTTAATTAATTCTGCTCCTTCCAAAAGACTTTGACTGCCTGAAATCTAAAAAAAAACACGCACACAGCACTTCTGGAGCAGAGTTAGAGATTGCGAGCAGCAGCCAACCAAAACCACAGATGAGTCTCAACAGGCCTGGCAGGTTGCCACTGACCTGAATCAGCTTCATTTGACAATGTGAAACTTGCTCAGGGACAAGATGAGATATGTCAGACAAACCATGAGGCACACAAACAACAGCTGCCAACGTGAGAAATACAACATATCATAGTTAAAAATAATACCATTTCTTAATTTTTTGACAGACTGTCTACCTGGCAAGTGTGTGTGAGTGTGTGTTTTTCTTTAAGTTATACATCATGCTCACCTTGACCAGTAGAAGCCCCAGTCAAGCTCCATTCAGGGTCTAGTGTCGCTTCAATGTCTTAACATCTCCTGGAAAGAGAAAATGGAAAGGTCATGAACTCTGAAAGTCTTAACGTGAATCCATAATGGCACTGCCCTTTTTATGTTTAGCTTTCACTGAAAATCATGGGAAAAAAAACGATTTCTAAAAATGCACAGGAAGCCACTGCAGATAGCATCCTGTTTGCGTCCTCCCCTCAGCCCGTTCCACTGCGTCATCACTTCCCTTTCCTGGAAATGTTACCACTCGTCCACCCTATTTACATATTTTGTTTATCAGGCTGGACCCCTGTCGCCTGGATCCTACTCGCACACCTTGATCGATATTAGCTGCTGGCCATCAGAGGCATCACAAGCTTTTGTCCTCAGTATTAAGAGAACAACAAAGTGTGGCAATTATTAATCTATCCCCAAAACGGCCAGAAATCCCTGCACAATTATCAGGTGGTGGCGAACTCTTAATTTATACTCTGATGGGCCAATAAGCTATCCTTACTGAACACATGACTAATGTTTTATGTGTTGCTTGGTCATTATTTATAGTAAAATAATTGTTATGTCTCCTCTTTATCCTACAATTAGAACATATACACTGCTTTCAAAACGTTGAGATGTCAGACATGCGCTATTAAGTATTATGTCAAAGCTTCCATAACCTTCAGCACTTATAATGCTATTCATAATCACAGTAGAGAAGGCCCTCTGGGGGTTTGTTGTTTTCGCATCAGAGCAATTGGATAAGCTGTAATCAAAGCAACAGAAAGGAATCTCTCTTGAGCTGGCCACTATCATCTGTTTTACAATGTCACACTCAAATTTCAGGCTTTAAATTGTTTACTTTCATTTTTCTAGCCACATTTTCATGTCAAGGGACGCGTCATATGGTCCTAACAGAAGGTGTGGCCTGGCTTTCAGTGTTTGGGTACAAACTGATCCCAAAACAGTGACCTTTAGCACCATCATCCCTGTAACAAGCCTGTCACATGTTCTCTCCTAATGAAAATCTAATAATAATCACACTCAAATTGCTCATAATACAGCTACAATTTTGCATGGCTTTAATGAAAGAAACCTCCACAATTGCTGTTAAATGTTAAACAAAAAAACACACTAGCATTTATTGGTAGCCTTAATAGTTTCTAATAAAACAGTCTAACTCACAATAACCACAGTAGCTGCAAGCCTGCATTCTACTGCCCATTGTGTGTGTGTGTGTGTGTGTGTGTGTGTGTGTACTGTGTGTGTGTGTGTGTGTGTGTGTGTGTTCCTCCATCACAGACCACTGATCACATCAGGCCTAAACGTCAAGCTGCTACTGAGCTAATGCTGCAGCTGAATAATTTATCGCAGAGAAAGAGAGAAAAGCGTTCCCTGTCTGTCAACTGTCCAAACACAGCTTAATAATTCTGAATCGCCTCTTACAAACGCCACAACAGCAAATCACCAATTCACAGAAACTAGGGTGAGAAAGCAGTGTGTAATAATAATATATGGGCATCTTGTCCAATACAATTGTTAAACTGTGTGAACTCCTGTGTTTTGTGTCCTTGTTTATTGACACATGAACAAATACACAGCAGTAACTTCTGGAAGGGAAATGTAATTCAAACCGGGGGATATATGGTGTGAATATGGTCCGCAGCAGGAGGAGGAGTCAAGGCAGATTGAGTAGAATAAAGAGGGGGAGGAGGCGGGAGAACTGGGAGGGGGAGGGGAGAAGAGAGGACACGGTGCACGACATAAACAGGGCTGGGTATCCATTGGAAAAAATGTAGATACTGGTGGCAATGGATATTTGACATTGACATATTTGACACTAATCAACTTGTTTGTTTTTTACTTTGTATTGTTATAAAAAACTAAAGTGTGATATATACTGATTCCTCATTGCATTTTAAAACTGCTACTACTTAGCACACTCATATCATGTATACATTTTGCTACTTTTACATTTTGTTAGCAGTTGTTTGGTTCATTTTATTGTATTCTAACTTATTCTGTATATTTATTATGTGTATTCAATTGAGATACTCTACACAGATATGCCTTGTCTACTGTTGATATGTACATACATGTAATGTTCGTTTAATTTCTATTCGATTTTACTTTTAACTAATGTGCAATGCCTTGTTAACATGCTGCTTTTTATTGTGATCAATAAAGTAAATCCAATCTAATGTAATCTACAATTTCACAAATGAGTGTCAGAATCTATAAAATGACAGTCATGCAACTCTACACCTCTCAGTGATAATGCAAAAATGTTCAGTGATCACCAGAATTTTCTATTTAAATGCTCGCCTAACTATTAAGTATGTGTCATTAAGGCCGGAGCCACACGAGGAAGATAACGCAAACGGACCGCAATCGTTATCAAAAAAGTCTTCCGTCCACACGCAACAGGCACCAGAAATGTGTCCGGAGACGCTGTAGACGCTGTAGTACATATGCCAGGCCTGTAAGTGGCGCTGTAGTCTGCCACAAAAGCAGCGAAGAAGACTTCCCGCGCATGGTTGCCGTGGTTGCCCTTCTGTTTATTCTCCGCTGTGGACGCTCTGGCTCTTTTTCTCCCTCTCTCCGGTTAGTCCACCAGCAGATGAAAAACACCCACCTCTCCGCCTCTTCCAAGGGACGAGGGGACCGTGCAGCAGAGTTTCAGTTAGAATTTTTTTCGCCGGTCAACATGTCCGTTAAAGTTTAAATCTTCCGGACAAAATTAGAAAAGTGCCGGTCAAAGGTCTTCTTTGTTATTTATTGAGCTTTAAAACAAATGAATAACGACTCTATATAAGAATAAAAAACGGAACCGTCTATCTGATAGTGAACTGTAGCAGATATGACCGTTATCGTCCTCGTGTGGCCGGGGCTTTAGAGAGTACTGAATGAGTGAAGGAGGAAATGATTTCAGACAGTCTCGGTGTTGAGTGCACTGAGTAATGATGGGCAAATGAGGATCGATGAGCCTTCTTTCACATTACTCCTGAGAAGTGGAAATGAGGGGCACCTGCTGCTCAGAGAGATTTACGGGCAAGTATACTGAAGATTAAGTAAGAGTTTCAAAATATCAAGCAATTATGTTATCTCCTAATGTTGAGAATGAATAATCGTTTTATCTTGTTTATCACCAAGGAGGAAGTCTATCACAGCGTAAATAAGGAAGAAGTTCTTAGCCTGAAATAGTCTGGAGTTGTTACCTGTTTAGTCATACAAAGACTCTTAATTTAGATGTTTTTGCATTTGATGCGGAACGGGACTCCAAACACGCAGGTAGTGGCACATGATTCAAAAATGTCCTTACTATTGGGTACAAAAATACCAGGATCTTCCAGGGATCTGGGCCCAAAGCATGTGCACTTATAATCGTCTTAAGCCCCACCTCCAATCCGCTGCGCCACATCTCGGCTATATAAATGTAGAGGTAAAATAGCTCTGGATTCAGCTTTTAGCCTATTTTGACGACGTTGATAGGCTAAAGTTTAAAGGCTCTTTAAGTGTTCGTACTTGGTAATTTATTTAGCTAAAAGGAAAATATCTGCTGATTTACAGATGTCTCTTTCCCAATGCAAGTTAATGGTCGGTTTTTGGTAGCATAATTCTGCCACTATGAAACATTTGCTTCAACGGTCTGCTCACTTCCTGAGGGGCTTGGCTAAAACCTATAATGGAAACGCAGCCAAATATGCGTGTGTGCTAGCTTGCTTAACTAGCTGAAGACTTTTCAGTCTGATTAAGGCCCCGTCCACACGGAGACGATTTCAGTTGTATCCGCTACAGTTCTTTATCGTTTAGACGGTTCGACCACACGAAGCCGAAACGGAGCCGCGGCTTCGGAGCCCGAATCCGACACACTTTGATAACGGCTCCCAAAGTGGGTAAGTCTGGAGACGAAACGCTTGCGGCTCCGTGTGTACGCCCTATACGATCATTTCCTGAATTGATGACGCCATAACCCCGCCTCTCCCCACCTCTGCTGCTCACCCCCGCGTCATTGCTGATGCGTTTCGCCAACAACAACAACGGCGGATCACAGGGTTGCGTTCATGCTCCAGACGCTACTGACCATGATACAGGGGTTAATGGGGATAGTGGTGGTCCAATGGATAGTGAGGTGGGCTGAAGATCGGAAGGTTGTGAGTTCAAATCCCGCCAGGAACACCACCACTAGTGTGCCCTTGAGTAAGGCACTTAGTCCTTAGTTACTCCTGGGAGGCGCGTGGCGCAGTGGATAGAGCCTTGGTATGGGGATCAGATGGTCACAGGTTCAAACCCCACTGCAGTCAACATGTCGTTGTGTCCCTGGGCAAGACACTTCACCCCAAATTGCTCCTGTGGGGATTGCCCACAGTATTGAGTATGTAAGTCGCTTTGGATAAAAGCGTCGAACAAGTAACATGTAATGCAATGGAGAATGTCCCTGTAATTGGTTATTGTAAGTCGCTTTGGATAAAAGTGTAAAAATGTAAAGTAATGTAATACAGATTTTAGTGCAAAATCTAAACTCTACCACAACCATCAGCAACAAGTGGACATGGAGAACTACATGAACTACATGTTACTAAATCCACCACGGAGAATAACCAGAAGGGCAACCAGGCAACCATGGCAACCATGCTCGGGGGGTCTTATTCGCTGCTTTTGGTGTATTTTGTGGTGGAAATACAGCGCCACTAATGCCCCTTTCAGGAAAAAACGAGCCGGAGCTGGAAAAGCGCCGGTTTTTCCTGTTCACACCGCAGCGGCGCCGCGTCATAGCTCCGGAATGCGGTTCACTTCCAGCTCCAAAAAATTGTCGGTCTAGAGGCAAGAGCTTCGGAGCTAGAGGCGGTGTCGCTTACGTCTCTCTTACGTCGAGGCGTGCAGGAAACTAAACCCACCTCCCCTGAACATGGGTCGACTCAAGAGTCTCGTCATGCCTGCCGACAAGCAGTAGCGCTGAGCAAAGTGACTAGAAGGCAACCACACACTTATAAAAAAAAAACACACTTTATAAAGTCAGGCAACACTAACCAGGCTTCGTGTGATTCTGTTTA